TCCCAAACTCCCCCAAAACCCAGGCCATTCCCAACCCCCAGGACTTGGACATAGAAGGGCAGCATTTATGGGACTCTCCTTCCCCCCTGCCTTCACACTTCCCCAAAGCACCCAGGGCCTTTGGGCAATAAAACCGTGGAAAATGGCAATTTCATTGAAAAAATCCCTAATCCCTAATAGGAACCTCCATCCAAAGTTCCTTCCTGGGTGAAAGATCCCAAGACGGTTTTAGCTTCACAGTGGCAGGGGGCACAGGGTGGTTCTGAATAGAAGGAAATATGGGTTGCAGGCAACAAATGCACAATAGTTTTACTTTTCTTTTTAAAGGAAAGTAAAAAGCACGTGCAACAGAAGGAAATTAGGACCCATCTGATGCCAAAGGTTGAAGGCAGTGGTTGGTTACAGGCAAACAGTGTTTTGTTGACCCAGTGTTGATCACAAGTAATGAAGATATTGCTGGGGCCCCAGTGGAGTGGAGGGATGGAAAACCAGCACTAATGACCTTTAAATTTCTGTTTTGCTTTTATTTTTATTATGTTGGAGACCAGAAGCCTCGCAGATGCAAGAATAGGATGGGGAAGCACTGAAAACCTCACAGACTTAAGTCAGGACAGCGAGTAGCTGGAGGCAGGAGATTTGCCTCTCCTTGGGTCCCCTGGACAGGCTAAGTCCAGCAGAGGCCATGGAGATGGCCATGTGTGCTGACTCTGAGGTAGCCACACAATCTCCAAAGACCCCTCATGATTATGCTGTGGGGGACAGCACAAGGACACCATAGGGAGGAGTACCAAGAGTTCTCAGTTTTGCTGAGCATCCGTTAGTGGTGTGTGTGTATGGACCTTTTGACTTGGGAGGCTTTGAACCTCCCCAAGGAAAAAGGCAAGTGTGGAGTGCTCATGGTGCATTTCCAGCTGTGCTCTCCCTGACCCCTAGACTGCCTCTTTTCTTTCCAGAAACACGAGTTCTTTGTGGACATGACCTGTGAGGGCTGTTCCAATGCAGTCACCCGTGTCCTGCACAGGCTGGGAGGTGAGTCAGTGCTGGCTGTGGGACAGGCAGCTCCAGAGCTGTGCCCTGGGCTCCTCCATCCTCAAGGATAACGCTGTAGGTAAAAGCTGAAAGCTGGAAACTTCTCCTTGCTCTGCTCTGAGGCTGCTCCCTGCTGGTGACAAGTCACTGGTTGTTTGCAGGTCTGTGACCCTTGGAGAAGTGTCAAGGGAGGGAGGAGCTGCCATGGCTGCAGGTGGCTCTGAGTCACCAGGGCCTCACCTGAGCCCTGGGGAAGGACACTGTGGACCCCTGCTCAGGCTGCCAGAGGGAAGGGAGGTGAATGTCCTGCCTGGCCCTGTTTCCAAGGAGGCCTGGAGTGTTCGTGGTGCTTCCCCAGATGTGTCATCAGCAGTCACAGGGAAGAGCTGCTGAGCAGAGCCTTTGGTGCTTGTCTGTGTAGCCTATTTTTAATACCACCTGGAAATTATAACCCATCTTTTGTTTGCTGGCATTTCCAAGACAGAAGGGTCTGGCCTGCACTCGTCAGTTGTGAGGACCTGCTCCCCTCTGAGAGAGAACAGCTTCCAGCCACCAAGGCAAAGGCCTTCTTTCATTACCATTACCAGGCTGTGACAATCCTATTTTCTCTGTGTGTAGTCGTCAGCACCTCCATCACTCTTCAACGGGCTGGCCAGTATCAGCCTCAGTAATGATGAGATAATAGCTCTCAAAGCTGATCCATACCTGCAGGTTTTGTGAAAATACATAACTGGATAGAGACTGCATGTCCAGTTCCTCTCACTGGGGTGAGAGTGGCTCACCTTTATTAGGCACTGGGAAATCCACATAGTAAAATGTCTTTTCCCTCCTTTTACTTCCAGCTGGTAGGTGGTACTGCCAGTTTAGGCACCTTGTCCTGAGCCTTTCCTAACCCTATTCACACTAAACCAGAGCACAGACTGAGCTGGGTGGAAATTTTAGTGGTTGGTTTGAAATCAGCTTACACAGATTCCTACATGAACAATTGTGTTGATCCAAGGTGGGGTGAGCAGATTAAAGCAGTTCAGAGACTGATACCTGATGTGGAGCTAGAGCAGATTTAACTTCCTTCATACCACTGCTGGCTGGACAGCAGGCTGGTTTTGCTGGCTGGTGGTGGTGTCAGAGTGTGCTGGCAGGAGATAAATGTCCATTTGTCTGATGCCCTGGGGAACACAGATGTGTGAAGGTGAGCTTCCCCTGTGCTTACACCATTTGGCTGCTTCTAACTCTGCAAAATGCTTTTCCTCATAGGTGTCAATTTTGATATTGACCTGCCCAACAAGAAGGTGTACATTGACTCAGAGCACAACGTTGACACCCTCTTGGAAACCCTCAAGAAGACTGGAAAGAATGCTTCCTACCTTGGGGAGAAGTCTGCACAGTAGCCTTGCCTGGTGTGAGGAGCTAGGTACATACCAGCTGTACCCAATGTGGAAGAGAGACATCTGAGCATTTCCCAGCTCTCCCAGTAAAACAGCATCTTCCTGGAAAGCACAAATTTAAAAAGACCTGCAGGTCCAGCTTCAGCAAACCCCTCATGTCAGAGAAGCAGCTGGAGCACACACAGGGACCCCTTAGCTGTTCTGCACAGCCTGTGTGATCCCAGCCTTGCCTGTAGTGGAGAGGTAGAACACAGCCTCTGTGCCATTCCCACATGGACCCAGAGTTTGCCAGAGCACATTGTGCGTGAAAATAAATCCCAAACACACTTAACAGCTGGCCAGAGAGAGTGGTGGGAGGGTGATGGGACACAAAGAGCCCTTTGGGTGTGAGATGCTGTGGGCTGGCTCTCAGCACAAGGACCTCCAACAGCTGATTCTCCTGATAAGGCTTTTAATCCTCCACTGCACTTAAGGATGGAAAAACAGCAGCTCCCTGGTACTCTTCTGGATGTAAAATGTTGGGTTTCAGAATAGCTCCCAGTACACACATTCCCTGGCCAACTGTCTACTCCAATGACAACCTGGTGGTTGCAGCCTGTCAATTTTCCCAGAATTCCAGCATTATGAAGATATGTACAAAACTGTGCTGACTGTAAAATATATTGGCATACAAGGTTCAATTTCAGTGAAAAGAATAAAGTGGGAGAGGGCTGCCCACTCACTGCATGTATCATTCTTTAGTGTGCAAAATTATTACATGGCATCTCCTAAGAATTTGTTTCTGTCAGTGCAGCTTTCTGATCCAGTGACATTTTTTTTTAATGGTCTAGTTGGATCATCATAAATGCCCAGCACAGATGCACTGAAACCAGTTCATGCTGATTTAATTCCCAGTCAGTAAATTAAATCAGGGATTTATACCAGCAGGAATTAAATTGATACAAGAAAGAGCTGAGCTGATAGTGACGTGTGTGCAATGGATCTGCATTGCTTAATAGGCTGACAACAGATTTAAAATCTGCAGTTTGTATCATTTGAGCAAGCTCTCTGTGCTTCTTAGAAATTATTTAAAATCATAGCTGTAATCAAATAACAACCCCACTTAACAGAGGGAGGCTGATCTGAATTGATCAGTACCTTAAATAGTTTTCAGTGTATTTCAGTTTCCTAGTATTGACTGCAAGGGCTGTTACAGCTTGCAGTAACTTGTGGACTATTTGTCTGCAGAATTTAACTATTACAGCAAAGTCAATCTCAAATAAGGGAGGTGTGTCTCTTTTCCTGGCCCAGTTTCCCCATTTCTTTCCTTATAAGACATCAAGGCAGCTGGTGAGTCAGTTCAGCTGGCCAGCGTGGCAGAACATTTCTCTGGATTCCTTTGTTTTCCTGTTGCACTTTAACTGAAGCTCTTTGATTTATCCAAGGATCTTGAGACCCAAAACACAGGAGAACAGGGGGCTGGACTGCCCTTGCAAGATTACTTCAGTCAGGCTAAAAATCCACTCAATTTAAATTTTGCACAGCACAAAGGGAATGTTCTTAGGGGCCTGTCTGTAAAAGAAGGGAGGGAAGTTGCAAATCCTTGGCTGTGCTGGATGAATTTCCTTTGGCCCTCCTCCTGCTTGACCAGCAGAGGGCATCTCTGTATAACATTATCTGCTCTGGGCCTTGCTGTTCTCTCCCCTTCATTTATTTATTTATGTATTTATTTTGCAGGAACTCAATCATGACTTCAGCAAAAAGATGCCTTAACAGTCTGCGTGTGTCCCAGCTTGCTGTGTCACTTGACCTTTGCCAGATGTCAGAAAGCAGAGGGCTGGCAGGAGGAGACAGCTGGGCCTTGTGCTCCAGAAGTGGAGAGGGCTGGGGGAGGAGGTTGTGTGGTGTTTCTAGTCCCACAGTAAATCAAGGCACTGCTTTTAACTTTCCGTGTGTGTCTGTGTGTCCTGTGTGTCTTTGTACTGCTTTAAGTGGTTTTCTGTGAAAGAGGCAGCTTTTAGGGATGGAAAACTCCCCTCTCCATGCACCACAGGTCTCCCAGGAAATTGCAGCTATCCTTAGAAGCTGACTGCAACCTCTGCCTGAGGGACATATCTCAAGAGAACTTTGCTTGAATGTCACTTAGATTCAGGGAATCTGCATCTTGGAAGTTGTTTTTCCATCACAGAACAAACAAACTTTCCATTTGGGATGCAAGTGCTGGGCAGAAGCGACTTTGGCAGCCCCTGTAAGTCAAGGATAACCAAGTGTCCTTTAGAGCTCAATGTGGCCTTGAGGCACAAGTGTGCAAAAGAGAATGCCTGGCCTGATGAGAAACACAGAAGGGATGGAGGAAGGATTAGGGTGTGGGCATATCCAAGGTCTCTCATTTCCTGGCCCAGTGACCAGCCTTGTGGACTGTACTGCTGCTTTCATTTAATTCAGGTTCTCAGCCCAGTGAGGGGTTGCATGTGTGTGTCCCAGTCTGCTGTCTGGTTTCACATGGGGGATTCTCCCACACCTACCAGTGACAGGGCTTGTTCTACAGAAAGGAAAAGCAACTAAAGTTTGGAGGAAAAGATTACTCTGCATTTCAGCTTTTTTTTTTTTTTTTTTGTAACTAATTTAAATTAATTTTGTCATAATTGCAATTTTTTCTTTCTTAGAGTAGTTTACTGTTCAAAGTCCTTCTTTACCTCTGATCCAAGCATGATTAATTGCTGTAGATGGACTTGCAGGGGACTGGAGAAGCACTTCAAGGAATGTGTTACAGACACTTTTTATTACTGTTTAAATTAAGAGAGGCTAAAGGCTACAAGTGTAACATCATTGCTTTATTTTTTTCTTGCCTTAAAGTCTCCCAGTTTGGCAGGAAGTTTCCAGAGCCAAGACCCAGAACCAGGACCTATTTCTGCTTTGTGTCCATGCACTCAGATGCCCTGTGTGACCCCTCCAGAGTCTTGGGAAGCGAGTGAATTCCTTTCCCTAGACTGCCCTTGCTGTCCTGAGCTGGTGTTTGCCAAGCTCAGTTATTATTTATTGCTCTCATCTTCCTCCCAGGCTTGGCCAGAGTCAGTGGCTCAGTTCTCGTGGCTGGGGAGGACGTGTGCTGGCACCTGGCGAGGAGCTGGATGGCACAGTGGCCTTGGAGCCACAATCCTGGTGGCACTTGCTGTCTGCCAGGCTGGCAGGGGGCAGGGGCAGTGTGGTGCCCACACAGGACAGCTCCCACTCCATCTTGCTGAAACCAAGCTGCTCATCCTTGGTGTGTGGGGAGCAGTTTATGCTGCCCTGGCTGCTCTGCTCCCTCCTCCTTGCTCTGCTTTGGGTAAAGCCTGTTATCTCTGAGGCAGACAAGGAAAGGTTTCTGTCCACAGCCAGCCAGGAGGTTCATGCACATACCTGAAGCTCCAGCACCCATCTGCAGGGCTGCAATCTCCCAGCTCTCCCCTCCATTGTTCAATGTGGGCAGAGGGCAGACTCTGCTTTAAGCTCTGGCCTGTTGAGTAATGACATCCTGTGACAGTCCTCACTTTGGAGTGTGGGCTGCATTTGGGCTGGATACAGCTGGGATGGTTGAGTCTGAACAGAGCTGCAGGCCTGCAGGGTGGCTGCCTGAGAGGTTTATGGCAAAGCCTTGGGAGAAAAAACAACTTCATAGACTAAAAGGAGAGTCACTACCTAAGCAGAGTTTCCTTGTTCCACCACTGCCCAACTGCAACATCTTCATTTATCATGTTACCCTGAACTTGACTGCATTTCATGGAGAGGGACCCTGACAAGCCCACACGGATAACATCACTGCAGTATTTTCCACAGGAAACAATATGCCAGACACTGAGGCTGTTTTCAGACAAGGAAATGCTCAGTTTGCAATGCAAACAGGAAAGGGTGGCACTTGGAAAAGGAGCTTTCCTATACCACAGACACCAGACTGTGCAGGACATCCCAGGGCCTGCTGGAAGAGTGATGTGTCAGCAGGATGAGCAGCTGGTCAGGTCCATGGTTCATTGCCATCCATGAATGTGGCGTCCCAGCTGCAGGGACGCTTCACTGTTGGTCTCTTTTTCCTTTTTGTTTAATTTCTTCACTTCTGGTTTCTTCAGAAGGGTCTCAGCCCAGCTCCAGCTGAACTGTGAGAATCCACAAACTGCCTCTAGCTGCAGCACCAGTAAGAGCTGGGCAAACCCTGAGGGACTGGCTCTAAAAGTTCTTTTGTTTCCCCTGCCTCAAAGTGATCTTTCCCCCTGACCCCTCTCCACAGTGTTTCCAGCAGACAGCATTTGCTATTCTCACCCACCTCTGTGTGTTTGCAGCATTGCTGCTGTGCTTCTGGGTGTCATTTTTCACCCACTGTTACCTTCCCCCACATTTTAAACAAAAATCTAATTTAGGTGGAAAAGTCTACAGCCTCCAAAGCCCAGTCGTTTGTCCACAAAAGAAAAGCCGTGGTTATCCCAGGGCTGCCTTAAGCACCACTGGCTTTTGGGCACTTTCTAATTACCTGATGACAGGCAGGGGATGATTTTAGCCAAAAGAGCGGTTGTACTCAGTCGAACCACCCAGTAAATGAGAGAATTTCCAAAATAGCACTACGGGCTGCAGAAAGCAGGCAAAGGACAGGAGATCCCCCTCAGTGCCTGCAAATGGTGATTCCTGGTGGCTTGGAGATGTAAATTGCTGTGAAATTTCAGGGTGGGAAAGAAGGGTTCAGTTTGCAACAATCTCAGGAATTTCACAGGCGTGGCTGTCTGGGTGTTAAGACACACGTGTTGCATGGTTCCATGGGGGATTTATTACCAAAAGATGGGGATTTTCTAGTCTTACTGTGCTTTTAAATGTTTGCTGTGAGAAACAGCCCAGCCCAGGCTTCCACCCTTGCTTGCCTGCCTCCTCCCAGTGCAGTGGCAGAGCTGGGGGGTGATGAGCACTGGTGGTGGCAGGATCATACCCCCACACTTTTGGGGTCAACATCAGCAACACTGCCCTGAGCAGCTGCTATTTGAGCTAAAGCTGTGCAGCTGGGCCTGGGGGCTGCCCTGGCCTGGGTGTTCAAAGTCAAAAGCATCACCTGAAGTGGTCAAACCTCTCTGCAAATTATGTGTCCCTCAGGAAGACTCCAAACTGGCTGGGAAAAGCTTGGTGGTCTCTCTGAGCTAAATGTGCTAGCCTTGAATCTCTTAAATAAGGTCTGCAAAGAGCCAATCTGCCTCAGCTGGGCTGAGGCCCCTCTGTGCTGGGTGATTTGCAGAACTGTCCCAATGCAGCACTGACACACACTGCAACATCAAAGGCCTGGCTGGTTCCCAGCTCCCCTGTTGATACATGCAGATTCCCTGAGTGATTGTCACAGGCAGCTTTCCACATTGCAGCTCCCAAAGCAGCAAAACACACAGGGACTGACAGACTCCCCCTCCAAAACAGGAAAACACACAGGGTTCTGACAGACTCCCCCTCCAAGACTGTGGCAGCATAAATAGAAAAAAAACCCACCCAACAAATCAAACAAACAAAAAACAGACTTAATTAAGGACTTCAAGAGCAGGAAATGTGCACACGTGTGCTTGCCAGAGCACAAATATTTTCTTTTGGAGCTGCTTTCTCCAAGGGTTCAGTGAGGTGATGGAGGCTGGGTTACAGAGCAAGGGTAGCAAACAGTTCCCAGCCCCTCCGGAAGGCAGTGGCCACAGGGCAGTGCTGTTCTGCATCCTTCCCCATGCTCCAGCCTTGGCTTTGGGCTCCCACAGTATATACTGAAGCTATTCAACCATTTGGCTAAAAGCAGATGGGGAGGGAGAGAAAACAAAGTCAAACGAGAGGGAGAAAGGCAGCTTTTGTGCAGCCTCTGTTTGCAAAAGACAGCCCAAGCCCCTTTTGGACTAAGGTTTAATTTATTGGGCTCTGGAGAGCCGAGGTTCACAGCCCCACAGCTGCTGCAGGCAGTGGCACATTGGGGCAGAGGCAGGGAAGGGGTGGCAGCCAGCTCTGATAAGGGAGCAGCTCCCTCAGAGGGGCTGTGGGATGCACAGGACACGATGTGAGGACCTGGCTGCCCTGGGGGGAGCAGATCTGCCCTCTGACTCTTCTGCTACAAGGGTCTGTCCAGGTGCCCTGAAGGGATGAGGGAAACTGGTCTGCATAGATGGGAGCCTTCAGCCTGGCCCTTCCTGCTATTGTCCCTCTGCCCATCATGTCTGTTCCTGAGCACCTCCCTAAGCACTGCTGGGTGCTGCAGAGCTGGCTTCAGTTTCCTCTTCATCACTCCACACTAGTGGGTTGCTGTCACTGGGGCAAGATACAGACAGAAGAGATATCTTGCAGCATTTCAGGCTTTTCCACAATTCCCAGCTGGCATGGGATTCCCAGGGCAGGACCATCTCTCTCAGGCCATCTGCGACCTGCTCATCTATTTTCAACAGATGGGTGAGAAAATGCTGAAACAACAAACACAACTCATCCCCTTGTAAATGCAAGGAGATGCCTGAGCGGAGCAGGAATCCACTGTGTGCAAGTACCCTCCTGTTCCATCTCAGATGGAGCAATTTCCCCCCCTCTGAAGCCCCTGCAGGGCTGTGGGCAGAGCTTGGCCCACAGAAGCCAATGTCAGCAGGGTGCACAATGCCTGGCAATGACAACAGGGGCCTCGAGCTTAATCTGTTGTGCACAGCTTCAAAAAACCCCATCCCACACAGCTATTGTCAGGGTGATCCCATCAATTGCATCACCAGTTTGCTCGGGACAGGGGCTGTCTCCAGGGCCCAGGGTGGGGGTGCCTGGGGAGCAGTTCTGGTGTCCCTGGGGCTGTCCCAGGGTCTGTGGACAAAGCCACAGTGCAGGCTTGTGCTGTGCTGCTCTACAAATAGAGCCTAAGGTCCTTTGGCTTTTCCCTTGCCTTTGTCAGCTGGTAATTATTATTATTATATTATTTTATTATCCCCACAAAGGCATG